GTCACCCAAAACCAGTCTTCCCCGGGGTGGGGAAACCACAGTCGATGCCTCCACTCCAAACCAACAGATCAGATATAATGCCGAAAAAAATCCCCCCCCAGTCCAAAAATACCCCCATCCGAGACATTCTTCTTTCAAAAAATCAGGGGCAAAGCCAGCACAAACAAAAAAATACCTTTTATCCATGGGACTGCTTGCAGAGGCAAAGGGAATTTTCCGGTTTCATGGACCCCCATAAAGATACTTGGACAACGAAATATGGATCCCCCGGGTTTAAAACCTTACGATGTGACAGAGTGAACAGGCAAAAGGGGGGGGGGGGGGGGGGGGCCTGTAATTTCAAGTCACTGTTTGCACAGAATGCAAATGCCTCAAAAAAAAAAGATGTAGTGGAAATTTTAGCATAAAATCGAGAACCCAAAAACCCGTCATTTGGGAGTCTACAAACCCCCGGATGCAACATCCCAGCAATTCCAGGAACAGCTGTTAAAAATTGACCACTGTCTGGAAAACTTTCCCGCTCTCCCCAACATCTTGCTCCTGGGGGGGTTTTAGCTTAAAGGGACCTAAAAAGGGGAATATCAAATAAAATTGTTCAGTAATAACACCGGAGGGGAGCTTAATGAAACTCATACCCACACGAGCTTTTAAATTCGCACAAAATTCAAATTTTAAAAACCCGCAAATAAAAGAGCCCACTGACGGGGAAACACTAGACCTCATCTCCTAACAATGTGACTGTAAGAAATGTCACCATATCAAAAAAAAATATACCCAAACACAAATTTAATTTAGGTTCAACATTTTGCGCGGGGCCCCAGACCGACATAATAATTATCAGGGGAGCTTCAAACCAAAATTTAACTTCAAACAAAAAAATAAAGTGGGACCAAAATAAACCAAGTCCTAAACCCATATAAACGGGGAAGAAAAACTAAGCAAAAACAGACCCCAACGTTGCCTAGAAAGATTAACTGGGGACCGATGTAGCACAAGGCTTATTTCCCCTTAAGAAAAAGGGGGAGTAGATGTAAAAAAAGAAGAGACAGGGGTCCCCTTTTCAGGCGACGGAAAAAATAACAGAGCGGCAAAAGAGGTCAAATTTTCGAAATGCGAGGGAGACACTGGGCCCGAGAAATAGCAAGCATCGAACTCAAGCAAAGGGGCTTTAGGAGTCAGGGAAACGCGGGAAGAACTAAAGCCATAAATGAAACGAAAGAAACCCCAAAATATTTCTCCCTATGCCCAAATCAAAGTCGAGAACAACATCCAGTATTGGGCCCCTACTTAAACAAGATGGGTCCTACACAGATGACAGCAAGGAAATGAGTGAGCTTCTCAAGACCCAATATGACTCAGTTTTTAGCAAGCCTCTAACCAGACTGAGAGTCGAAGATCAAAATGAATTTTTTATGAGAGAGCCACAAAATTTGTTTAACACAAGCCTATCCGATGTTATCCTGACGCCAAATGACTTCGAACAGGCGATAAATGACATGCCCATGCACTCTGATGACACTCTTCAGGTCGCTTGTTCTATCTAGGCTGGAATATTGCTGCACACTAACAGCACCTTTCAAGCAGGTGAAATTGCTGACCTAGAAAATGTACAGAGAACCTTCACAGCGCGCATAACGGAGATAAAACACCTCAATTACTGGGAGCGCTTAAAGTTCCTGAACCTGTATTCCCTGGAACGCAGGTGGGAGAGATACATGATTATATACACCTGTAAAATCCTAGAGGGTCTAGTACCGAACTTGCACACGAAAATCACTCACAACGAAAACAAAAGACTTGGCAGACGATGCAACATCCCCCAATGAAAAGCAGGGGTGTCACTAGCACGTTAAGAGACAGTACAATAAGTGTCAGGGACCCCGAGACTGTTCAACTGCCTCCCAGCATACTTAAGGGGGATTGCCAATAGACCCCTGGCAGTCTTCAAGCTGGCACTGGACAAGCACCTAAACTCGGTACCTGACCAGCCGGGCTGTGGCTCGTACGTTGGATTGTGTGCAGCCAGTAGTAACAGCCTGGTTGATCAGGCTCTGATACACCAAGAGGCCTGGTCACAGACCAGGCTGCGGGGGCGTTGACCCCCGGAACTCTCTCCAGGTAAACTCCAGGTACTCGCTCCCATTCTATTCCTCATCCTCATTTCTGACACAGACAGAGATGTAAGCCATAGCTCTGTGTCTTCCTTTGCGGATGACACCCGGATTACCATGACAGTGACCTCCATTGAAGACGCCGCGAGACTCCAAGCAGACATCAACCAAATCTTCGAATGGGCCACTCAAAAGAATATGAAGTTCAACGAGGAGAAATTTCAACTACTCAGATATGGGAAACTTGAAGAAATTAAAAATGTGTCAGTGTATACCACAAATTCTAACCATACAATAGAGCGGAAAAATAATGTGAAGGACCTGGGAGTGCTTGGGGATCAACTGCAGCAACACACCTAAAGCCAATAATAACCCAACAAAAAGCTGCAGTAAGAATAATCACTAAACCCCCTCCCAACACACCCCCCCCACTCTTCTAGTCAAAACTTATCCCTGTTCAGTACATCCCACTTATACGTGAAATTAATTACAGGCCTTTAAAACTCCAAATAAAACCTTGACCTAAACCTTTCTTGATATTGTGACAGAACCCACAGGAAAACACCAACAAAAAACATCTCACGACTTTCCCCTCATGTCCGACTAAACCTTTAAAAAAATTTCATGTTGTCAAAGCCCAAATTGGGGAACCCCCTACCGAAACTCTAGAACTGAGACACTTTTCATCCCTCAAAACTACCTTAGAAAACATCTTATCTCCCTGATAAACCCCATCAAACAACTACACGAAATACCACCTGGTGGATCACACTTATACACTCACTCACCCATTTGCCCATAAACAGAAATATTAATCTCCATCTTAAAATAATGGAACCTATGATACTCAAATTCTGAAACTATGTACTGTGCCAAAACTAAAGCATTCACATTGCTTTAAACTCACAAACTAGTATTTAGTACTTAGCCATAATTACCAACTTACCTCATAATTTGTAATATTTTAAAATAAGAATTTAACTAAGTTGCCCGAACAATGCTAGCCATGCTAGGAGTTCTAGTGGTTTTACACTCTGTAAATCATTATGAAACTACATGTAAACCACACAACAACCAAATTCTGTAAATTCAACATTGTAATCTTTATAGAGAATAAACTTTGAATTTGAATTTGAATTTGAATGTAAACCACACAATAACCAAATTCTGTAAACTCAGCATTGTAATACTTATAGAGAATAAAGTTTGAATTGAATTGAATTGAATTGAATTGAATTGAAAGTACCACCAATACCACCAATCCGATGACATTCTTCTTTGCAAATATACAGGGTCTAAAGCCAGCAACGAACAACAAAATACCTTTCATCCGTGGACTGCTTGCAGAGGCAAATGCAATGTTCGTGGCTTTCACAGAGACCCACAGAGTGGATCACTTGGACAATGAAATATGGATCCCAGGTTACAACCTATACAGATGCGACAGAGTGAACAGGCAAAAGGTGGGGGTTGGCCTGTATATTGCAGAGTCACTTATTTGCACAGAACTGCTAAATTCCTCAAATGATGTAGTTGAAGTTTTAGCAGTAAAGATCACGAACCAAAATCTGGTTATTGTGGTTGTTTACAAGCCTCCGGATGCAACGTCCCAACAATTCCAGGAACAGCTGTTAAAAATTGACCACTGTCTGGAAAATCTTCCAGCTTCTGCCCCCAACATCTTGCTCCTGGGGGATTTTAACTTTAAGCACCTAAAGTGGAGGAATATAGCAAATAATGTTGTTGCAGTGATAACACAAGGAGGCAGATCAGATGATTGTCCTGATCTATTTTGCCTGCCGTGCACTCTACAGGAGGGGCACCTGTTCATCGGCTTACTTTTAGCCAGCTCTGTTTTTTCCGCTCTGCGGAACATTCTTTATCGGTCTTTGGTGGGAAGCTGGTTGCTGAACTCAGGTTGGGGGGGGTCCCTCTCTGCTGAGGCTTGGCAAGGGGGTCCACCGGATCTAATTGGAAACTTCAAGTTTATATTTCTGTTTACTAAGGAACTCTCAAGCTGGTCCTAGTGGCATTACAATACAGAGAAGGGAAGCAACCCCAGAGAGGGCTTTGATACCGGAAGTCCTCATGGAGGGGGATTCTCCTTCCAAACAATAACCCCAACTCCCTCTCTCCTCCTCCCTATCTTCCAGATGCCATCACCAATCTTCAATACAGGTAAGTAAAAATGTTATTTTATATTACTATACATAATTAAAGACTATAGCATTTGTTGTGTATGTAAAACTGTAATTAATCTCTATAAAATGTATTTTTTTTGTGAATATTTTTGGGTTTCTGGAACGGATTAATTGTATTTCCATTATTTCTTATGGGAAATATTGCTTCGAATTTCAGACTTTTCGAATTTAGAACTAGCTCCTGGAACGGATTAAGTTCGATTTTTGAGGTTCCACTGTATTATGATCTCGGTTCAAAAATCAAATGAGATTTGAATTTTTCCACCTTAAGTCAATACCTGATCATTTGGGCTGTGGTATATACGTTGGTTTGTGTGCGGCCAGCAGTAACAGCCTGGTTGATCAGACCCTGATTCACCATGAGGCCTGATCACAGACTGGGCCACAGGGATGTTGACCCCAGAAACCTCCAGGTATACTCCAGATATGACTTGAAGCTACTTGCCTAGGGCCAGGCTTCCCTATTGAGCCAAACCAACCAGGCAGTTTGTGCTATTGACCTGCAGGTTCACATATAGTCTCAAAACCTGCCAGATTTGGCACTCATAACTCATACAAGCAAACAAGTGTAAATGCTGTATTGTAGTTTTAATCCATGCTATTTACGTATTCGTATATTTTTTTAAACAAAACATTGATGTGTATTATTGATGTACAGTAACATAAATTCTGGTCACACACAGCATCGGGAGTAAGAGGCCAGGATGAGTTCTCGTCGTGCATTGAGTGTCCTTGGTCTACCTGCTCCAGTCGTCACGAAGCTACTCGACTCAGACTTCATATATGATGATGACTGTACGAGGCCTAAAACCTGTAGAACTTAGTTTAGGTAATGATTTTGTCAATTTACCAATAATTTCTCTAATTTTCAGTTGTATAATAATTTGATGAATAATTCACAGTGGGTTAAAATTAAATTCTGTTTACTGTCAGTCCTCCCATAACTGTTCATGATTTTTAGAAGTAATTCATTCCCCATTATGAAAAATTTGCAATAACAATAAAATATAACTATTGTGGCTAATAGATACCATAATTAAAAACATAAAGCACACAATGCATTTTGAATGAACTCTTTCACAACTACTCCTTCACTGTTTTACACTTCTCCAGTTTCAACCAGTACATTCTGAATACACTTTCTAGTTTTGTTTTCACATCCTGTCTTGCATCCTGCAAACACTTGTTAATATCTTCAATTATTATTTTTCATTGCTTTGACTTTCAGGTTAAAATTATTAAAATTTATGACTGTAGGTACTGTATTTTTTCAGTAAAATTTTTTCCCTAACCACAGTTCAAGCTCTGCCATTCTAAATGATTGTTATTTATATTCAAATATTATTAATACACATTTAAGGACGTATTATATAAATGAAAAACTTTGATGCTTGACTCACTTGGAAAATGAAAAACAAACTTTACAATCAGTTTGGTGCACATTATTTACATAATCAGGGTAATATAGTACAGTTCTGCACATTTCTATATTTTCTTGGTGTTGTAAATGTACTTGAAAGCACTGGGATAACTAAAAATTTAGTCTGACTATGACAGACTGATCCTTTCAGCATCTGGACTGACTTTGAAGGAGAGTGCTGAGGTGGTGAGGATGTCCACAGTTTCCAGTGCAGAGCAACCGGTGTCTGTACTCCAGATAATTGAAGTAAATCTGTTTAAGCTTTTTGTAAAATATAATTTTCACTTGGGCATAAAAACTAGTTGAATAATATAAGACCTAAATACTGTAGCTGTAGATAAATTTAAAACAGAAAGTACACAAATAAATTTGCAGTTATAGATCAAGAGATGCACAATAAATGTACAAATCTAAAAAGTATCGTATGATTTGCACTTTATTGCTATTCTTTGTATTCAGAAAATTTTGAAATTTTTAGATTTTTCACTTATGAAAGATTGTGGAGGTTTGATCTACAACAGTACCTCTGTGTTTGATGTACAATGTTTCCTCTGTGATACAGTATAGCCTATATGGTATGTCAAGGCTTTCATAGGAATCCTGTTGCAGGATGAGTGTGATGTGTCTCATATTGTCACATTTTGTAAATCTCTGGATGATCTACTGGGTGGGGGCATACCTTTGTGTGCTATTACTGAAATATCTGGAACTCCTGGCATTGGAAAAACTCAACTGTGGTATGTCTTTTTTTGCATTTGAAGGTACTGTAGTGTATGACAATGTAAGATGATAATTCATAGTAGTATACTACACTACATTATCCTGTATGACCCATATTCTTTAGTATTTTTAATAATAATAGTAATAATAAAAAATTATAATATTAATTGATGTAAAAAGGGAGGGCCCAACTTATTTGGCACCCTCTTTTTTGGTGTTCCACATTTTTGATTGCTTTCAATTGAGCTAGTGTTCATTATGTTTGTTGCTTTTGCTGCTTTTCTGCCATTTTTGCAGAACAGTTCCATAAGGGAAGAGTGACCATTGCTATATTTTAAGGAAGTATTGTATCTACTGTGTAATTATTTTCACTCTTTTTATCTTTTTTTTTATGCCAAGCTGTATTGAGAACTTAATATCTGTTAGTGTAAACATGTTATCAGGCATTTTAGACATATTCGATAATGAAAAAATGCTCTTTTCCACCTGCCAGTGATTTTTATTTATCACCAAGGGTTGGGGACCTAAGACCCATACAAGCAGGAAGAGCCTTCCCTGTAATTACATACTGTACCGTAATTAGAATGGAGGCTGTGGGATGAGTTAATAAAGCTTGATTTATTTCAGCAAATCTTTATAATTGGAGACAAGAATTATTTTTAAGGTTCCTGTTGGGCAAAAAAATTGCCTTGGTAAGGAATTGAGAAATGTAATTTGAATTAATGTTCTGTATAGTAATACTGTATCAGTACTTATTTAATTTGGTTTTTGTGACATTTTCATGTGCCATTGCTCTTACTTCTTCACAAGTTGCAGTACAACTATTATATCTTTCCTAGCTTACAAGCCTGTGTGTCAGTGCAGCTTCCCAGCAGTGTAGGTGGAGTAGGAGGAGAAGCAGTGTTTATAGACACTGAAGGCAGTTTCACTGTGGGAAGGCTAAAAGGTGAGACTCAGGCATTATGTACTGTTATTCAGAGAGGTTTTATATTGTACTGTAAGATGAAAATGGCATTTTATACCTATAGCATTTTTATTGCATGTACAGTATCTTTTAAATACCTGATTAACTATATTTAGTGGTCGCCAGTGCAGATCCTTGAGAGCAATTCTCACTTGTTTCATTTAAGTCTAAAATCCATAGTAAAATAAGGTGTTGTAATTTGAGACAAGGCAGTTCTTGCGTGTAAATTTTGACTATTGTACTATTTGTACCCAGTGTGTTTAGTTGGTGATTATTTATTTACTTCATATTGTTTTACAGTTTTAAGTTTTTAAAAGTAAAAAGACAGTAAACATGTCATGTTTGACTTCAGTGTAGTTTTTTTTTTTAACATATTGGCCATTTCCCACCAAGGCAGGGTGACCCAAAAAGTGAGAAAAACCCAAAAAGAAAGAAAAAACTTTCATCATCATTCAAAAATTTCACCATCTCTCATTCATAATCACTGTCTTTGCAGAAGTGCTCAGATACGACAGCTTAGACGTCCCTCCAAACTGCCAATATCCCAAACCCCTCCTTTAAAGAGCAGGCATTGTACTTTCCATTTCCAGGACTCAAGTCCAGCTAACCGGTTTCCCTAAATCCCTTAACAAAATATTACCCTGCTCACACTCCAGCAGCTCATCAGTTCCCAGAAACCATTCATCTCCATTCATTCCTATCTAACATGCTTGCTGGAAGTCCAAGCCCCTTGCCCAAAAAACCTTTACCCTCTCCCTCCAACCTTTTCGGAGACGACCCCTACCCCGCCTTCCTTCCCCAATAGATTTATGCACTATCCAAGTCATTCTACTTTGTTCCATTCTACCTAAATGATCAAACCACCTCAACAGCCCCTCTTCAGCCCTCTGACTAATACTTTTAGTAGCTCCACACCTCCTAATTTCCACACTACGAATTCTCTGCATAATATTTACACCACACATTGCCCTTAGACACGACATCTCCACTGCCTCCAGCTGCCTCCTCGCTGCAGCATTTACAACCCATGCTTCACACCCATATAAGAACGTTGGTACCACTATACTCTCGTACATTCCCTTCTTTGCCTCCATGGATAACATTCTTTGTCTCCACAGATACCTCAATGCACCACTCACCTTTTTTCCTTCATCAATTCTATGGTTAACCTCATCCTTCATAAACTCATCTGCTGACAAGTCAACTCCCAAATATCTGAAAACATTCACTTCTTCCATACTCCCTCCCTCCAATGTGATATCCAGTTTTTCTTTATCTAAATCATTTGATACCCTCATCACCTTACTCTTATCTATGTTTACTTTCAACTTTCTACCTTTACACACCCTCCCAAACTCGTCACTAGCCTTTGCCACTTTTCTTTAGAATCCCCCAAAAGCACAGTATCATCAGCAAAAAGTAACTGTATCAACTCCCATTTTGTACTGTATTTGATTCCCCATAATTTAATCCCACCCCTCTCCCCAACACCCTAGCATTTACTTCTTTTACAACTCCATCTATAAATATATTAAACAACCATGGAGACATTACACATCCCTGTCTAAGACCTACTTTTACTGGGAAGTAATCTTCCTCTCTCCTACACACCATAACCTGAGCCTCACTATTCTCATAAAAACTTTACAGCATTTAGCAACTCATTACCTATTCCATACACTTGCAACATCTGCCACATTGCTCCCCTATCCATTCTATCATATGCCTTTTCTAAATACTGTTTACATACATGTATATGCTTCAGTGTAAACACTTGATCTACACACCCCCTACCCATTCTAAAGCTTCTTTGCTCATCCTACCCATTTTAAAGCCTCCTTGCTCATCTGCAATCCTGCTCTCTGTCTTACCTCTAATTCTTTCAATAATAACCCTACCATACACTTTACCTGATATACTCAGTAAACTTATTCCCCTGTAATTTTTACGGTCTCTTTTGTCCCCTCTTCCTATTATATAAAGGGATTATACATGCTCTCTGCCAATCCCTAGGTACCTTTCCCTCTTTCATACAACACTATATCTCCCCCTGCTTTTGACATGTCTATCATGATCCCATCAGTTCCAGCTGCTTTACCCCCTTTCATTCTACGTAAGGCTTCATGCACTTCCCCCACACTCACATCCTGCTCTTCTTCACTCCTAAAAAATGTTATACCTCCCTGGCCAGTGTGTGAAATTACTGCCTCCCTTTCTTTATCGACATTTAAAAGTTCCTCAAAATATTCCCACCAACTACTCAATACCTCCAGCTTCCCATGTACTAACTCCCGTACTCTGTTTTTAACTGGCAAATCCATTCGCTCTGTAGGCTTTCTTAACTTGGTTTTCTCACTCCAAAATTTTTTCTTATTCTCAGCAAAATTTCTTGACAGTTCCTCTCTCACTCTATCATTTGCTCTCCTTTTGTGCTCTCTCACCACTCTCTTCACCTTTCTTTTACTCTCCATATAAGTGTAGTATGGTATGAATGTTGTACAGAGAATAAGGAATGAAGAAATTAGGGGATGGTGTGGTGGTACAAAAGATATAATTCAAAGAGCGAAGGCGGAATTATTCAGAACGTTTACTCTTTAGACGAACTGAGGTAAGTTATTATGCTGGATATAAATGTGAAATGATAGAGGGAGGTTGAATACCCAATAGTGCTATAGCCAGCAGGTAAATGGGTAGAGGTTCTTAGCCCCTAATCCCATTCAGCATCTTTTTTTTCTCAGCTACTGTAGCCTTCATGATTTTGTTTGCATTTTCAAGAACTTAAAAAACATGTCTGTAGAGGCTTTATCTATTGTGAAACTGCATTTTTATTATATATTTTGATTTTAATGCAGAATAATAGTTTTTTCTAACTCCTTGGCTGTCTGTTGCCAAAGAAGAAAATGCATTACTGTCATTCATTCAATCACCATCTGTTTTTCCAGAAGTATGTTGACATCACAATTAGATTACTCTCCAACTGTCCAGGAATAATTAATTTAAATTTATTTTATTTGAGGTGACTTCTTTTATATGTGCTTGCATCCCCTGACATTAGAACCTGGCATGTTTAAGTATGTTGGATTAGAGTAAGTGAACCAAGTGACCTTTGAGATTTGACAGGCTGTTGGAGCATGAACATAGCACTGTAATATCTGTGAAGAGTTTCAAGAAAAGCGATTAGCCAGACGAGTTTTTGAGATACGATATACATTGCCTTCATTTTGTAATGTTGATGGGAATCTTTTCAACGATTTATTGTGTCATGCCTCTGCAAGTAGGGAGACACACTCGGAGAACAATCGATGGTAAATTTATGTCTTCTTCTGGGTCGCCCTGTTTTTGTGAAAAATGGCTGATGTGCTAAAGGAAGAGTTAAGGATAATGAACTCTATTGATATCTGTAAATATACCCTGTTCTTCATACAGTATAATTTTCTTCATGCTTAAAATGATTTGTATAATGCTATATCTCAATTAAATTTGTAATAAAAATATAAATTGTTTGTTTTTAGACATGGCTACCTCTGCAGTTCATCATGTGCAGACTATCGGCAGTGACTGTGCTGATTTGTCAGGCTTTACTGTTGAATCTATACTAAAGGGAATACATTATTTTAGGTAAAGTACTAAAAAATACTTTTTTTTTTTCTGTAATGATGAATACAGTACTGTTTGCATAAGTACACATGGTGTAAATAAATATACAGTATGTCTAATAGCAAAAGTATGATGGTGGAACCCAGTGACATTGTGAATAGGAAAATGAATTGTTGAATTTTAAGCTTGAAATACTGAGGAAAGTTTGGACCTGTGCCTTTCATTTTTCTTCAGGAAAGTTAACATTTAATATGAGGTGCTATCAAAATGTTCCTGGACACAAATTTTTGTGCACTTTATGAGCAAAATGTGGTAGTGCAGATCACGCTTTATGAAGTAGCATGGCGAGTTTCAGAGCATTTGGTTCTTTTTTTTTTTTTTGTTTGTTGCATTGTAAGTGCAGTGTTGCAATTATTTTGTGTAACAGAATGAAATCTTTGACGAGAAAGAACAGCATTTAGGTGTGTGAAATTCTGTTTCAAACTTGGTAAAATACCTAGTGACTCTCACAAAATGCTTCAGCAAACAATGAAGCAGTGGGTTAGACATAGTGTTTTGAATGGTTTCGTTGACTCAGAGCAGGACAAACGTAAGTTGAATTTGAGGCAAGTGGCTGCAAACTTGTACTTCACTTGCTGGCCAAAAACAGCATGAGAGTTGTTCCCTACCCTCCCTGCTTCCCAGATCTATCCTCCTGTGACTTTTTTTTTCCTTCCCAAAAATAAAAATGGCACTCAAGGGGTGGTATTCAAACAGTTTAGAGTAGATTCAAGCAGAATTGAATACTGTGTTAGATGCCATTAGGAAAGAAGAGTTCCAGAAATGTTTCAAGAAGTACTCTCCCTTACAGTAATCTTCCATGGAGAGTACCTCAAGGGAAACAGCTTCAACTAGGTAGTTAAGTAAGCCTATATATTTTTTCATGGCAGTCCGTGAACTTTTTGATAGCACCTCGTATTTTGTTATTTTTCTCACCAATGTATAATTATATGAAGCAATAGTGCAACCACTATGTATAGAAGACTTAAATTTATGTATGGAAGAAGGAAAGAAATCTGAATTAATATGTTTACAAACAGAAGAGATATATCATGGTGAGGAATGAAAGTACAATATATATAGTGTATTATAGGCAAGCCTTGATATAAGTTGTACCTTTACAAATTCTTAAGCCCTTTATATGTAGAATGCAGTCCTGTTTAATAACCAATAACAATATTAAATTTTTTCACAGATGCCATAGTTATATTGAGGTTTTGGCAGTAATAAGGCACATACCATTACTTCTTCAGTCTCACCCAAAAATACAGCTAATTGTCATTGATTCCATCGCATTTCATTTTCGGCATGATTTTCCTGACATGATGGCTCGAACAGGATTGTTGTGCCGCTTGACTCAAGAACTCATCCAACAAGCAACAAAGTTTAATATTGCAGTAGGTTTTTTCATTCTATTTATTTTTACATTTTTAGTTTATATTTCGATTACATTGTGTCCCAGGACCATAATTTCTAGATGTACCCCTACATGGCAGTCATTTATTGCAATACATACTGTCCTCAGCTAATTTTGCAAACAATTACATTTGGTATATGACAGTAACATAAAATGCTTTTAAATTCTAAATTTTATTGATTATCATTTTTCTTTTTTAACTTGCAGTTTTCCCACTAAGTGTTTTAGGTTAAGTTAAAAAGGGAGGGAGGGTAACAAGCTATCCATTTTAGTTGATTTATATATGAAGTGTGGTTTATAAGAAATAAGAATGGAGGAACACAGCAGAAGACCTACTGGCCTATATAAGGTAGGTCCTTATCAAAATGATCCCTACCCAAAACTACCCAAGAATATCCTCCTATACCCAATGACCTGCTTTCACTGCATTATTTTTTTAGATAATATAAAAATGATTCCAAACTTAAAATAAGTGTACAGTACACTATAATTAATTTAAATCATAGAGTACATACTTGCAGGATTTAAACAGAAGTTTGGAGGCATCACAGATACAATCCTACTTGGTAACTACTGCACCACAGCCAGATTATTGTAATACACAGTAGTTAATATAGGGAGCTGTAACTTCACTAGATCCCAGTGCAAATCATGGACCTTTCATAAGAACATAAGAAAGGAGGAACACTGCAGCAGGCCTGTTGGCCCATACTAGGCAGGTCCTTCACAATCCATCCCACTAACAAAACATTTGCCCAACCCAGTTTTCAATGCCACCCAAGAAATAAACTCTGATAACTCTATCCACTCTCATATGCAAGTCCCACTCAAATCTAACCCCCTCTCACTCATGTCTTTATCCAACCTAAATTTGAAACTACCCAAGGTTTTAGCCTCAATAACCCAACTAGGTAGACTGTTCTACTCATCAACTACCCTATTTCCAAACTAATACTTTCCTATATCCTTTCTAAATCTAAACTTGTCTAATTTGAATCCATTACTGCGGGTTCTCTCTTGGAGAGATATCCTCAAGACCTTATTTATATTCCCTTTATTAATACCCATCTTCCACTTGCTATGTATTAATTTAGTCATTCTATGCTGAATGTTTTCTAACGAATTTATATCCATTCTGTAATATGGAGACCAGAAGTGAGCTGCATAATCTAGGTGAGGCCTTACTAATGTTGTATAAAGCTGTAATATAACCACTGAACTTCTGTTGCTTACACTTCTTGATATAAATCCCAGTAATCTGTTTGCCTTATTACGTACGCTTAGGCATTGCTGTCTTTGTTTAAGGTTACTGCTTATCATAACCCCCAAGTCCTTTTTGCAATCTGTATGGCTAAGTTCTACATTATTTAACCTATAAGTGCTAGGATTATGGACACTCCCGAGCTTCAGAACCTCGCATTTATCTACATTGAACTGCATCTGCCGCTTTTCTGACCAGGTATTGAGTTTGTCTAAATCCTCCTGAAGTTCCCTGATATCTACGTTTGAATCAATTATCCTGCCTATCTTTGTGTCATCGGCAAATTTGCTCATTTCACTAGTAATTCCCTCATCAGGATCATTGATATGTATTATAAACAACAATGGGCCACTTGTTACAGATCCCCACTCGGATTTAACCTCATTTATGGACACTTTGCTTCCTGTCTGTGGGCCATGACTCGATCCATGAGAGCACTTTTCCCTCAATGCCATGAGCTGCCACTTTCTTTAACGGTCTTTGGTGCGGAACTCTATCAAAAGCCTTACTAAAATCTAAGTAAATAACATCAAATTCTTTATCGTGATCAACAGCCTCAAAAGCTTTACTGAAGAAAGTTAATAAATTAGTTAGACAAGAACGGCCTCTCGTGAATCCATGCTGAGTACCATTAATCAGATTATGCTTATCCAGATGGCTTCTTATAATCTCAGCTATAATTGACTCTAGTAATTTGCCTACAATTGAGGTCAGGCTTATTGGGCGGTAATTTGATGGTAACGACTTGTCCCCTGCTTTAAAAATAGGAATTACATTAGGCATCTTCCACATATGAGACACTACACCTGTTTGAAGAGATAAATTAAAAATATTAGTTAACCTTTTCAGGGTTTCCGATGTACTAGTACGGCTTACGCACAAGGTTTCTTGTACTCATTCGATCGAAGAAATGGAGCTCTAGCAAAATAGTTATGATTTTTGTCGACTAGTCCACTGGAATTGGCTGAAAATAGGGCTCAAAGTGGGCGAAATCACAATGCGTAACAATGTTGAGACCGCTATTTTGTCGGAGCAGGATTCCATAGGTTTTCCATCAATTTTCCACACTTTTGGTGTCATTTATGATCGGTGAAAACATTCTCTATCTTTTCATAAGAATTTTTTTTTTTTTCCAAAAATTTTCGACCCTGAGAACAAGGTTTTGGAGAGGGCCTCTCGACCAAAAGGGGTTGTTAATGGTTCATAGAGTTCCATTTTAAATTCCTTAAGAACATTGAAAAAATTCTATCCAGTTCACGGCGACTATTTTGTTTCAGTCGGGTCTATTTGTTTCATAACCACTTTGCACTGATTGACTGTGATGTTACATTATTTTATCTTCTTCAGGCCCACTATAAAAAATTATAATACTGGGATATTGTTAGTGTCTTCATGTGTAGAAACTGAGAGAAAATAATTATTATTACCCTTCAAGGGTCACGTCCGTAGATTTACGGCTTCAGGTTGAGTGTTCCAAAACCTGTAGATCTACGCCAAAATTCTAGCGCCGTCAAATTTTAGCGCGAAAGCGCTCACTAAGGCCCTCCAGTGAGAGAACGGGTCTGCGTGGTGGGTGTGCGCCTTAAACAAAAAATATAGGAGCCCGCATAGCATTGTGGGAACGCCGGCTCAGTTACCCTTGTTCACCATGCCTCGTCGCAAGTCAGCTCTCACGCCCCGGAAATTGGGACTCTCTCCTCTTCCTATTGATAGTTTGACAATGATGGTGTGGAAATGAATATGAATTTCTACGGCCTTTTTCAGTTAGTGACCGAAAAAGAATACCAGGTATCGATATAATAGTGCAGGAAAACCCTGACGATCATCACCTTCTACCTCTGGTGTTGGGGCACTCGTGACTCAACGGTCCGGTTCCTCACCGCAAGAGAAAGCTAATATTTTTCGCGATGGCCAGTGGCTCTTGACTTCAGTAATGATGATGATAGTGACGTGGATTGTGATTTTATTGCCCGCTCGACGATATTTCAAGTAGTGATAGTTGAGGAATCATAATCACCAGTGAAAGCGTTGTATGTTCGCAGCCGCATGCGCTCGGGTAGTGTACCTCCTATGCTGGCCCCAGGGGACGGAGTACATCCCAGAGTATCATATCCCGTGGCCCTACACCAGGTTTATAGGTAGTGATAGTGAGGATGATGTGGCTACACTTGGCTTGGATAGACCACAGGCATCAGTGGATGAGTGGTAAGGGGTGGTGATGGTTAGTGGCATTGGCCATGCGTGACTCAACCAGCCCACGCTGGGACCAGCTTGCTGACTCGTCAGTTCAAGGGACTAAAGCGGTGCGCTACGTCAGCCACAAGACCACCACAACCACAACCACCGCACAACCAGCCTATGATGTCAGTATCCTACCAGCAAACCGTATGTGGGAATTGCAGCAAATTCCCAATTTTGTTCCCAAAGCTCACCACTTTGATGACTCTCAAAGTGGAATTTAACCTACTTGTCCCCTTGGAACCATCGGCCAATGATAACTGGGAATTCTTTGACCAGCCATTGATGGACAACTATTGTCAGGGCAAAGTAATATAGTATTTGAGTACACCATGGCCAAATACGATCATATCACACAGTCAAGACTACACAGGTGGAAAGAGTACGACTGTTTGCAGAAATGTGTTTGCTTTTGCCACAATAATGCTTATGCCTTATGTCTATAAGCATAATATAAAAAGCATGCTGGTTCCACAGATCGGCTAATTTCTACCCGGTCTTCAGTGAAACCTACCAGTGAACAGGTTTATCTTACTGCTTAAGTATGTTGCACTTCTCTGACAAAACCAGGCCTGAAAAGAAGTGACAGGTTATACAGTCTTTGCAAATGTTTTCATGTTTCATTACAGAAAATTCTGCATATACGTGTATCCATTTCAAGATCTTGTAATTGACGAGTCTTGATTTTGATTCAAAGGTAGACTGTATTCAAGCAGTATATTCCCGGAGAAGAGGAAAGCGCTTTGGTATAAAACAGTTTGTACTCTGTGATGTGACAGTGGCCTGGTGTTGGATATTGTTGTATACCGGGGAATGTCAAACATTGAAAGATACCAAGATGTTGTTATTGGGATCTCAGGTCGACGTAGTGAGGAAACATGGGATGGCACTTATCTTGGTAGGGGCATACATTATATACCGAAAGGTACACAAGCCCTTTAATCAGTGATTTCATGCGACACGGTGAACAAGACGATGGTGTTGCACAGTGCGTTCTTAATTGTAAACATATGCCCAGGCTCAACGGCAGGTGCTCGTGGTGATGCGTGCAGGTGTTGACTGCCAATGACTCTTGGAATTCGGTGGCATGACAAACGAGATGTCCACATTGTTGACAACCCATTCACCGTATGAAATGCTTGACAGTGGCAAAGTTATCGAGGACTAATGAAGTATTCGAAAAACCAGTGGACAGTGATTGATTATACACAAAACATGCGCTTGGTTGACAATTGTGACATGCAGATTGGTTTTTTGTTTGACTGTGTTCGTAAGAGTTACATGTGGTACATGAAAACTTTTCTTTATCTCATGGACATTCTTATGCTCAATGGATATAATATGTACCAATAAAAGACTGGCAACAGACCACTGTATGCGATGAATTTTGATTTGTCTGTTGTCAGCAAACTCATAATGAATACCAGGTAAGAACACCTCTGCTATACAAAAGGTCCTCGAATTTACTCAGGTTATACCCA